TGTGAGATATATGGTGCACAGTCTCTAGGGTCTGAACAGAAGAAGATGTCCCCATTTACAGCTCTAAAATTTTCCTCTCCTAAGCCACGATCTCATTGAGAAGAGAGGGACCGCTGGCATGGGTACGAGCCAGAGCCGGACGCAGTCTTGCCACACAGAAGAGGCGGCTGAGATTACTGTTAGCCAGTAGGGGAGGTCCATCTGTGGGTTTGGAGGAGGCGGGCATAAAGCATGGGTGGGCTTGTGCGGTCCAAAAACAACGAGTTCTCACTGTTTTTATATGCTCAGAAAAACAACCTCCTCGTGTGACAGAGGTCAGTCACACAAGCTTTTTTTTTACATTCTCTAACGTCACTGTTGTCATTCACTGCAGTCTGTCCCAGCATTGGATGTCGCTTGTAATAAAGCCATCTAGACATTGACTTAACTCATCTGTCGTTAACCCCACATACCGCCTGATACAGAATAGTGTGGTACAATGTGTCATACAAACAAGAACAAAATAAAACTCACCACAAAAGAGCACGACAGCTCCAGGCTTATGGTATCGACTAGCCAGATCAGTGGATTGGTCACTACGCCAGTAAAAAAAATTCCAGCCAATCAAGCAACCACTATAGACATTGTGGGGGCACAGAACCCACAATATGCACATTAATATTCAAGCAATTCTTAAACTTTTACATTTTGTCTTCTAATTGTGTGTATTTGATTACAATCAGGATCACTATGCTTTGTTGTAGTCAGCTAAAGGATACATTAAATACTGCAGAAATGCATAAGAATTCCTGTTTATTTCCTTCTTCCTCAGTCTCATTTCCTTCAGACAATTTATTTGTGATAATTTAATCCAGTAGTTCTCAACTGGGTGTGACCCAGAAATGTGTTGCACATCGTTGCACATCTGCACTGGTACTGTTGTGGAAAGTGATGCAAAATGCAACTAACCGCATATGTGTGCACAGAGAAGAAAAACACCTAGGCTTGACAACTCAAAGGGAGGAGAAAATGATTTCATATTTTTATATTTAGTCCTGTGTTTCATGTGTTGAGCTGGAAAATCCCATTTACGGTTGTTTGTGCATTTAGAATGTTGCCAGTTTACCTGTTTAGTTTCAAAGTCAATGTTAATGATTAATAATAACATTAAAATGTAAAGATACCGTACCTGTGAAAAGTTTGGAAACATTCTTTTTTTTTATGAAAGTATCTTATGCTCACCAATGCTGCCTTTATTTAATCGAAAATACAGTAAAAACAATTTAAAATAAATGTTTTCTCATTTGAATATACTTACAAATTTAATTTACTACTGTGACGCAACGCTAAATTTTCAGCATCATTACTCCAGTCTTCAGAGTCACATGATCCTTCAGAAATCATATGAATATGTCGATTTGCTGCTGAAGAAACATTTATCATTATTAATATCAATGTTAAAAACAGTTTTTGCTGCTTAATATTTTTGTGGAAACAATGGTACCATTCAAACATTTGTGGTAAGATTAAAAAAAAGAGAAAAATTAATACTTTTACTCATCAAGGATGCATTAAATTGATCAAAAGTGAAGACATTTATGACATTTACAAAATATTTATATTTAATAAATGCTTTAATAATTAAATGCAAATAAATGCTGTTCACTGAACTTTCTATTCATCAAAGAATCATGATAAAAGTATCACCATTTCCACAAAAAATTAAGCAGCACAAACTGTTTTCAACAATAATAAGAATAAGAATAAGAAGAAGAAGAAGAAGAAGAAGAAGAAGAAGAGTTACCCGAGCAGAAAATCATCATATTAGAAAGATTTGTGAAGGATCATGTGACCCTGAAGACTGATGAAAATATATTAAAATAGAAAACAGTTATTTTAATGTGTAATAATATTTTGTAATATTCCTGTTTTTACTGTATTTTTGATTAATTATATGCAGCCTTGGTGAGACTTATTTGCAACAAAAAAAAAAGTTTTTTTTAATGTTTCCAAACTTTTGACAGGTACTGTGTGAAAGACAAATATACAATTTACATGTAACAATACTATTATATTAGTGTTTTTAAAGAAAGCTGTAAACTTTACACTGTAAACTTTAACCTTCATCAGATTGCGGTCATCTAATACTCAAATTGTAGTTTCAGTGTAACAAATGTTTTTCTTACTTTTGTATTATGAACAATTCTGGAAGTGTGTTGGGTTCTTGCTTTGTGTCTGATGTAAAATCTGGGTTCTAAAGCAAAACCAGTTTGATTTAAACCACTGATTCAAAATCAAGACTGAAGTATCAAGTTCCATTAGTCAACAAAAGATTTCAGAAACCCCACACCCCATTCTTGCAGCTTCCCCCATTACTTCTTATACGTTCATGTCCTCTTACTTCCCATACTACAACTGTCCTCTCCATAACCCTCGCTGAACCCAGGAGGGCTTGATTCCTCTAATGAGAATCTGATAGGCCTGCTGTGGGTGTGTGAAGGAGGGACAAAAGGTCTCCTGGCCTCCATTCAGGGCCGCTGGCTGCAGCTTCAGCTCTGACACACTGACCGGGCCTGTGACAGCCCATAGATAGCAGGCGTGTAACACAATACGACAAGCAAGGACACGGCAGACTGCAACACCCCGCTGCTTGGCTGAAATCGTGAGAAATGGAGGGTGAAAAACAAATCTCACATGACAGCTCTTAACAAGGCCATTACAGTGATTAGTATTTGTCAAGTGAACTTGGCTAAAGCTGGGCTCAGACTACAGGAGTTTTTAAAGGTGACATATCATGAAAATCAGACTTTTTCCGTTTTTAACTACTATAATCGGGTCCCCAGTGCATCTACCAACCCAGAAAACATGAAAAGTGACAACCCAATAACTTTGTTTTGGTAAGCCTTTCTCTGCAAGCATGTAAAAAAATAAGCCGATCTGATTTCGCTCCCCTTCTGACGTAGAAAGGGCATCTTATAATATTACCGCCCCTTAATCTGCACGTTTCCACGCACAGCCCGCCATTTGGCTTACAAGTGTAACCAGTTCTAACACAATGACAAAAGCTCGAGCAGAGCATGCAAACTGTCCCGTCAATGGCTGCACAGACGAGCACAGAACACTATTTAACCGAAAAATCTCACAGCCGTCTTATAAAGACCTCAGGGAACTTTGTCAACTTGTGTAAAAGTTAAACATGACGGTACGTGCAAGTCGATGAGATAAATCAATGTAACTCCACAACAACTACATAACTGTATCCACTAACCATTCAGAAACGTCCAGGTGCGTTCAAAAGATGCAACCTCTTCCTGAGTCTCTCTGTAAGGCTGCACTCCGCTACTGGTTATTTCTGAGATTTTGGACATTTCAAATGTTCTGTTACTTCCGTCTCCTTGTAGTCTTGCCTCTCACTGGCTATTGTGGAAGAACTGGCGTAATCATAGTCGTAATCATGCCGATTTAAAATCCTAAATACCGTATATACCCGAATATAAGACGAGGTTTTTGTCCTAAAAATAGGCTGAAAAATGGGGGGTCGTCTAATATTCAGGGTCATCTTATATTCGAGTGGAGGAATCGATTGATAGCCTTTTTCTTGGAAAAAACGAGCGCGTCGCTTTCATTATGAGCACGCATACCGCGCGCCTACATAACGAACGTGAGCGCGCAAAAGACGAGATATGTCAACGGGAGGGGGTGGTGGGGGGGGGGGGGTGTCTCTGCTCGCTTGTCTCCGTCCGCTCTGGCATCCTCTGTGAACAGCGCTTTTTCTTGCGCGGCTCGAGAAAACGGCCAGACGACCCCGCAGGGTGGTTTGGTTAAATCCATCCCGTCGCACTCAGGGCAGCCGCAGTCATGGCCAATCAGGAAGCGCATATGTGCCGGTCTCCGCCGACGAGCGGGCCTCTACACGAGGCACAGGTGATGCGAGGCATTTGGAACAACGCCTCGGAAATTTGCTCTTAAAATAATTTTCTGTTGAAAACAAGATTTTTTACACAAAAATCTAATTTTCCCCAAAAATAAGTCTGGAAAATGGGGGGGTCGTCTTATATTCAGGGTCGTCTTATATTCGGGTATATACGGTATCAAACATGTCAGGCCCTGATGTGTCAGCGAGCAGATCGGGAGGTTTAAGATTTGATCTGTAAACGCCTCACATTACCAGATAATCTGGGCCGAACATCGGAACCGACCGATGCTCTGTACGCAAAATGCCTGGAGGGGGTAAATGACAATGACTACTTCTGTAGTCTGAGTCCGGCTTAAAGGACATTGAAAAGTAGCACATTAATAATAGATGGTTTAACACTTGAGTGCTTATTTAAATATTTATACTTGATTTTGTTTTGGGGGTCTACTAGAATAGGTTTTCATGCATGAATGTTCAAAACACTAGGGCTGGATATTGTCACAAATTTCCCGATTCGATTCGCAAGCTTGCGTTTCAATTCGATTTGAACTAAACTAAACAGGGAGTCAGTTGGTATTACATTACTATAATATTGAGAATCAGTGAGGCTTATGAAGCCCCTCCTTCCGAAAAGCACAATGTGCTCTGATTGGTCGGCTGAACCAGAGTGTTGTGATTGGTCAACCGCTTCAAGCGTGTTTCTGAAATGTAACAACCCTTACCATAACTGAAAGTTTCAACACACTACTAATGCAACTCAACCAGGCCTCGCCCCCTTTTTGTTGCATATGTCTTGTGCGGGAATTATTTTAATTAGGAATATTGTGACGTGTAAGTTCCCGGAAGAAAACTAAAGACTACAATCGAGGCGTTTCAGTGAGTTCTGAAACAGTGCTTACTGATATAGCGAATAACTTTCTTTGAAGTGACTGTGCTTTGTAGTTTAGCAGACCTTTTTCATGCTCAAAAAGCAACATTACACAGTAATAAACTCTCTTTAGAGAGAGTGCTATTTTAGTTGGTTTATCAGACATTTGATAAGATCACAGATGATGACTACTGGAACTAGAAAACTTGAAAAGCTGAAGTAAGTTGTTTCGCTCACCTCCGGTACGTCCCTGGCCCACCAGTACGGCGGGGTGCAGACTGCCTTCATTGTTGAGCAAGTGAGGCAGATGGTGATAGATATTTGGCACCTGGAGGGGCTTCTTGTGAGCCAGATCCTTTAACAACTTCTGCGTCTCATCTGTAAGAAACCAGAGTATTTAAACATTTTTAAAGGATGCATAAACTATGTGAATGTTCTAATCCCAAGTAAAAAGTAAAATTTACTACCCTAAAATTCATCAAAACACTCACTTATTGATCCTCAGTACTAAGAAGCAGGTAAGAGTGGTTTAAATACATAATCCAAAAAGGGAAAGCAAACCACACACAGGACACAGCTGAATTATCAAGTATAAGAATGATGTTCCTTGGAAACATAATCAACAAGTATTTGCCCTAAATTAATGTTGGGCTTAAGGTGTGTGTTTCTTCTGTTGTTAACATTTTACAAGACATATTTTTATGTGCTGATTATGGGCAAAAATGTGCAGCAGAATTACAGCCACATCTCTCAAATGCCTTAGATGATGTCTTGTAAAATGTTAACAACAGAAGAAACACACACCCCAAGCCAAACATTAATTTAGGCAAAATGTGCAAAACTGAGCTGAAATTACAACACTCTAGTAGTATTGGTTGCTGAAAGCATTATAAAATTAGTCAAAATATTGAGCTTACAAGATGCTCTGTGAGTGCAACAATCAGGTTCTGGAAGTAAATATCCCATTCATTTTCTTCATATGGGAATTGATTTTGAACGTAAACTTTTAAACATTTAAAGACAGTCCTCTACACCAGTACTTCCCAAAGTGGGTGCCAACAACTGGCTTGGGGTGCAGCAGAATCAGAAGCTTTTTCCCCAATTTAAACAGCCTAAAATAACCATCGTAACAAATAATAACTTTTTACAAAATACATTTAAAAAATATATATCAAAACACCAACATATGAGCATGTCCAAACAAAAATATATAAGCGAAAAAACACTGATATATTTCATTCATATTTAAAGTTTAAATCGCCCGCTCCGCTCAGTTCCGCCCTTTGAATTGGTGCGCGCTCAATTTTATATTTCACGCAGAGGTTGACAGGATAGGGCAAAGATGGAGCTAGCGTTCTTAAAACAAAAAAGGCAGCGCCTGTCAGTGGAGCACGATTTAGGAGTTGCACTATACTCAATCTACCAATGCCCATAATTCCACAGTTCCATGCACAGATATTTTAGTTTACTTTAAGTTATAAGGTCAGGTAACTATTATTTAAAGGGGTCATGAACTGGCTTTTTAAATTGTTTTATATTGTTGTCTGAGGTCAACATGACGTTCGCTTGGTTTTTTACATTCAAAAACATCAAAATGAATAAGTAATAGGCTATTTTCTACCCTGGTTTTGAGCCTAGCTCAAAAACGCTCGGTTTTTATGGGCGTCTCGCATTGAAGACTTGGAAGTAAACGCCCACTGCTGTGAGTGGATAACAGTTTTGCATATTATAATGAGTTTCGTGTAATCCGCGAATCGTTGGGCGGGGCTAAACCGGCTGTGTTGAAGTAGGCGTTGATCTTCTTCTGCGGGGGTGGTGTTTTATCCTCTTTGTCGTCATAGTTCCCCACTTTGAAAAACGAGTCGTTTGCTGAGCCCGGTGTCAATAAAAGCTTTTATTGGACTAACAAGGACGTTTTCAGTTCTGAAACTTACAGGATATTCTTATAATTTGATGACCTCTTAGATGTCAAAAGCTCAGGGAAAATTTGATTTCTCAGTTCATCACTCCTTTAAAGAGTTAAGTATCAATCTTTAATGTGTTTTGTTCCAATTATTTGGTTCAAATCACTTACTGAAACAATCAATGTCATAGAATACACTTGTCTGTTAACAATGAGTTGACAGTTTGAACGTTCTTGTTCACTTTTATTTATTTTGAAGATCTGAGGTGAATTGTTGCTTTCAGTATGGCTATAAAATACACACAAAATGATATTCAAACTCACACAGACGCTTTTAACATTAAATAAAGCATATAAACAGTACCTGAGATTATCAAACTTTCTGTTGTTGTTCCAGCCGCGACGTCGCAGAGATTGAAACCGTTTCTAAAACAGAATCTTGGCGTGTCGCCGTCGCGGCTGGTTAGGACAAAAACTCTGATTAACATGGAAAAGATACCTTTTATCGCGTGTCGCGGCGCGTTTGGTTAGGACGCGGTGTTAGGTCTGTTATGAGGCATTCATAATAAATTCATGCTGCTGTTTATGCTTCATTTGTTGTTTGCTCAACTAGATTTAATTTTATATAAGTATGTACACATGTACGATTAGTTTAATTGGGTTGGGGTGCCGTAAAAAAAAACAAAAAAAAAACAATACAAAGTGGTGCCATGCTTTCAAAAAGTTTGGGAACCACTGCTCTACACTCTCAAACCACTTATTTTGCGTTTATATGCAATAAACAAAAAATGTTGTTTCTATATACACAACCAACATCTTTAAATGGATAGTTTCATATGTCTCCATTGTTTTCATTAAGGCTATATTGTTTGCAAAGCTACACAGGTTTGTAGTTCTTCCCTTCATTAAAGATTTTCCGACTTTCAAATACTACTTTTGCTTTGAACAATGTTCAATGTCATAATTCACCGCATAGCTGGGTTGCTTTGGTTCATGGCTTATAAGTCTTTAGCGAAGACTTTCTGAAAATATCAATAGGAAAAATGTATAGGAAAAATTCTTCCAGAACCAAGGACACTGAAAAAGTGGACGGAAACTTTGGCATTCTATAATATTGTGGAGATAAATGAATTCCGTGAAGGAAGCAGCTATACAATACATATATTTGTTCCCACTAATTTGTGAGAAACACATGCCAGTTTACTGCATGGCAGATAATAATATTAAGTTGATAACACACACAACTGTTAACATGCAGTAACCTGAGAAATTGGCGAGAGCATCTTTGCTGCCGTTGGTCTCTGCGATGGCACGTCTGAACTGCTCGAGGATGGCGTTGAGCTCAGAGGAGCGCTGAAGGGTTCGGTGCTCTGCCACGCGCAGACGCTCCCTCAGGGCATGAAACTCCCTCTGATAGGCTACCAGCTTTTCTGCAGAGAGAATAGGAGGGGTGGACAGAGAGAGAAGGATAACATGAGGCCAGACTGAAGCAGTGTTTAAGTCATCCCACGGGAAAGTTGTGCCATTTTTTAATTGAGTTAAGTTGTTCACTAGGCCAGTGTTGTTTTTGTTAACTAAAACTATGAAAAATCATTTATGAAATACCATAAAATAATAGAACATGTAAGATTAAAAATGTAAGACAACTGAAATAAAATAAAGTTAAATAGAAATATAAAACATAATAATAATACAAATTTCAAACGCACATAACAAAACTATTAAAACATAACTAAAATGAAAACTGCAAATATAAAATATAAGCTATTAATATATAATATAAATACTACATTAACACTGCTCTATGAGAGGTACGATTAATACTCTTAATTTTTTTTTAATTATTCACACACAAAAAAAATGTGATAACTTAAATCCTGTCCGATTTTAGGGAAAAATCGGGTCCATCGGAGACGTCCAATAGATTTCTTAGGCGGGCCGAATAAACACAACAGACACAGTGTAATCACCATGGGAAAATCTCAGAGTAAAACTGGGAGTTGTTTTGCTTTTAAACTCTCTTGCTTTTATTTTGTGATTATTTTAATTCCTTTTTGTGTAAAGCACTTTGAATTGCCATAGTGTATGAAATGTGCTATATAAATAAACTTGCCTTGACTTAAAGGTTAAAAATTAACATGTGCCCAACATTAAGGGTAAACTGTTACAACAAACAGTGAGTGGGTAAGTTGAATCATTGGGGAATATGTGAACAACTTACATTTACATACGAATGAACACAAATTCAAATGAGAATCATTTATTTTTAAAGAGAGAGAGAGAGAGAGAGAGAGAGAGAGAGAGAGAGAGAGAGAGAGAGAGAGAGAGAGAGAGAGAGAGAGAGAGAGAAACAAACAAAAAAACTAATGCAAACCCTATTCAAGCCTTATTGTGCTGAACATTTGCATTTGCATTTTCATATATCCAAGACAAGGCTTACTATTCAAAATATTTGGATGTAGCGCAAAAATATATAATAGTGTTTGTAACAGTTGGTTGCAACAAAAAAAAACAAATCAACAAACATCAACATGGGATTGTCTCAAGTTTAGGGCTGAATGAAAAAAACCCTCCAAAACGTTAAGAAACTGCAACTGTCCAACATCTAAAGACAGCAAAAGCATTATTTTCAGGAACCAGACCTGCCTTTTCCTGATTCCATCAGTTTCTGTGAAACATGGGTTTCCAGGAAAGCTATCTTACTGCTGCTCATCTTGAAGAAGAGAGAGAGAAGAGAGAGAGAGAGAGAGAGAGACAGCTTGTGGTCTGAGGCAGAGCCAGTGGGAAGTGCCCTCTGCTACAGCAGATTAGCCTTGAGTAACACCGCCTGCTTTATTTGCAGACTCAACATGTTATGAGTCAGACCTCACCCTGAAACAAGACCTTGCATTTAATGCATCTGAAAGGGTCTCAGAGCTTCAGAAAGCTCAATGTTTTGGCTCTACACACAACGTAGGCTGTGCTTGTGGTTTGTATCTGACTGAAACAAACGGTCAAATCAACTTTGATTTTCTTCTGAGGATCGGAAAACTCATGGTTCAGGTCTTGTGAGGATGTTCATGTCCAATTTTCCGCAAGAACATCGATTTGTGTGTAGAAATGTCACTCTCTTCATACAGACGGGAGCCTGATCGCTTTGAACTTCTGCTATGACAGCTGGAAGAATGACTGCTTGTTTGACCTCAGCAAGTCTCTCACAGGTTTCCTCTTGATCTCGCTTTTATCCCAAGATTCTACATTCCCAGGGAGCTCTCCATCTTACAAACCGAGGGGGTTTTGCAAGGATCCAGAATCTCAACATTTTAGTTTCCCCTTCAGCTACAGTAGGACAGGGTTTATAATAGGGTTGTCACGGTGAGGACATTTTCAGACCGGTATATGAACTTGCGATAACACCGGGAGGAGGGCGGAGAAGAATTGCTTTTGAATTTGCGCTAGCTTTTCACTTTTGCTTTTGAGTTCACAATCACGCGTACTCTGTGTATAAGCCTATAATTTGCGGCATTAAAAATTACGCCATTAAAAACATAAAATGTTTTTTTTTTTTTTTTTATGTGCTATAAAAACAAAACAAAATGCTGACGAACAAGGATGCCGTTTTCATCTTGGATGTATAAGAATGATGCGTCTCTTTTATAACAAGCAATTTTTTAAAATTTGTGAATAGATTTTTTTTTTAAAGTGTGAAGTGTTGTTATGTGGTGATGTCGTTATGAAATTAGAAAAGGTCCTAATATTAGTTGAATAATAATACTAGCCTTATACTAATAATGATTTAATACCTTAATGGGAAAACAAGCCAATTATCATGTTGATATCATCAAAGGAATCAGCCATTGGTGATATGTCTGACTATTGTCGATTCACAATACTATCATCTATCAGCATTCGGCACAACCCTAGTTTACATGCTGTATTCCTTTCTTGCATTTGGGGTATCTGTCTTTGATGCACTTCTTTATGATTGGTTTTAAATGGGGGTTTCTTCAACTATGGACTTTTTTTGCCCGGTTGACTCTTAAAATAAATTTAAGGACCTAGTAATTTGTATACTAAATAGTCCAACAATGTATATAGTACCTGACAACTGTTGTCTTTGACACTACCTTTTGAAAAGAACCTTTATCGGTGGTAAAACTGCTGATTGTGGTGGAAATAATTCCACAAATGAGGGCCAGTCGTACGTTTTGAAAAAAGTATACAAATATAAAAGTTCCAGTGGTTAAAGAAACAGCCAAAATATGAAGTTGGACAGATACGATTTACACAAGACAACAAAAACTGCAGGAATATAGTGGCTGAGTAAACCGGTTCTGAGTAATAGATCTATACAAGAAGACTAATGCATGCCTGCTGTAATACTTATCATCAAAATAAAAGCATCTAAAATCACAACAGCTCACTGTGCTCAATACTACATTACTGATCAAGCTGAACTGTTACTGAACTCCTCTGTGGTTTGGGCAGGCAATCAGCCAGTGCTATTGGGAAACTCATATTCCAAAAGATAATGACTTTAGTATGTTGAAGAGAGAAGGCACTCCATCCAACAATAACAAGGGCATCAAATTACATGTTTGTTAGCAGATCAGCAGATTTTCTTACTATATCCGACACCATCGGCAAACAAAATGTAAAATGTTAGGCCTGTGTTGCTGTAAAGAAAATGACATTACGCTGAGTGTGGGAAAGATGTGTTCAGGCTTCTAGTTTGTAATCTAAATTAAGAAGACACACTTTGAAGGGCTGCAGGGCTGTTATGTGTTAGTGTCACTCAGACACACGCACGCACGTGCACATACCGGTAACCACATAAGTTTAATAAGATCCACGGTGTTGCTGCAGCCCTGGGCAGAGAGCTTGTTGGGGGCTGAGTGATGATGTACAAGAGACAATAGATGTGTGCAGAATCAGCTACTTCCATCCTTAAGGGCTTTACACCACACACATGTGTTTTGGCTCAAACAAAAACATACTGAACAGCTCAGTTTGGGCCTGCACACCTGGTCACTTCATGCGTTTCTACTATTCATATAGTTACATGATTTGTTAAAACAGTTCCATTTACACTTGGCTACATAAATGTGTTTCAGAAAAAACGAATACAGATCTGATCTTTTAATTCCCGCACTATATGCAAATTTAACAGAGTTCACGTCAATGAAAGCAACAGATATGCGCTGCGTTTTATTTATCGTCAGCTAATTTCAAGATCAAAGAACGCAATAGGCCTGAATCAGCTTAGTCAGACGACTTTGAATGAAAATGATTGTGTGTTGAGCATCTGCGACTTTCAGTTTCTTTCCTAATGCATTTACAATTCCCAGTTTCGTCTGAAGTGGTTGAGTGATCGGATTTAAATCCGTCTCGAAAGAGTTTCGGAGGGCATTTACACCTGGTCTTTTCACGATCGGATAGCTATCCAATCAGAAAAAACGCATGTGACCAGGTGTAAACAGGCCTATTTAAAACATTGTATCTATGCACATAGTAGCATGAATATTGTTATAGTTATTCAGCAAGGATGCCTTAAATTGATCAAAAGTCGTTTATCATAATACAAAATTCTATTTCAAATAATTGCTGTTCTTTTGAACTGTATATTCATCAAAATATCCTGACAATGTACCACAGTTTCCGCAAAAATATTAAGCAGCAAAAAACTGCTTTCAACATTGATATTAATAAGAAATGTTTCTTGAGCTGCATATTAAAATGATTTCTGATGGATCATGTGAAACTGAAGACTGGAGTAACGATGCTGAATTCGGATTTGCCATCACAGGAATAAAGTACATTTTAAAATATATTAAAATAGAAAGAGTAATTTTTAAATGGTAAAAAATATTTCAAAATATGAGTTTTTAATGTATTTTTTGTCAAATAACTGCAACCATACGAGACTTCTTTTAATAAAATCTCAGTGACACTTTCTCAATCCAGTAGACACTCCCTCCTCAGTACACTCAGACCATTCATGACGCAAATAAAAAACAGCTCCTTTGGAAATTTTCATGAAATTGACGTCAGAACCGGAGCACTTTATACTGCCTGTGTTTACATACCTACATACGCCTCTGCAGTATTTAGTAACCTCCCTGTCCTGATAAACAACATACAGTTTCACATGATTTATAGAAGTCTTATAGCCTAGTTAAAGTAGCAGTGAGAAAAGCATTAAAACCTTGTTTAATTCTAATTCCCTGTTCACACAAGAACACGCACAGTTATAATGGAGCTTGTGTAGTCTTGCAACAGTCTTCATTTATCTGTCTGTCTATTTTCTAACTGTTTATTAACAGAAGTACAGACTAATGATATTTAATTAACCATGTTTCATTTAGTGATTCCTAAAGTTTCAAGAACTGTTTGTTCTTCAATAAAATATATTGGTTATTGAGGTGGGAAAAAGAAATGTATGAAATATGAT